GAACGACGCATCGACGGGCGAAGGGAAGTACGTCAGATCTAAATGGAATTTTGATTGCAATGACAGATGTTTGGAGGTCTTACCATCGAGTCCGTCGAGCATTTCTGGGGGATTATGGTGTTCAGACGATTCAATTCCTGACACGCCGTCGCTAAGCGCGCCCGTCGTGGCTCCTCCTTCCTCTGCTAGCAGTCCGACCGGGTGGCCCTGCACAGAACACGATCCTCATGAATAACACTGGACACGATTATTTACAACTGCGAATGTTTACTATCATTTGTCGCGAAAAAAAGAACTTGTCCGGTGTTTTCTTTAGTAATTTGTGTTACGCTTCGATACACCGTTTCTCCTTGGTTCGAGGAATTGTTAATTGGTACTGCAATTTGTAGGGTTCAACGTGAAATCTGGATCCTTCGTTTTTCTGTTATTCGTTTCAATTAAGGATGTATGAATGTAAATGATATATTTTTGTGAACGTACGTTCGTATTGTTCGAGGATCGACAGATTCACGCGGACCAATATATTTCTACTTCATTTTTTATTTGCTTGTACCTTATCGTGTAATGTTGTTCCTTTTATCAAAATTGTCGAGTGAATATTATGTTCCTTTGGTATGGAAATTTATGATATTCAGTTCGAAACTAATTGCAGAAAGAATTATGTAAAATGGCGAGGTATCTTAAATAATTCATCGAAGGTTGAAACGTAATTTGTACAAGAAAACGAATGGCTTTTGTCAGGACGTTAGTAAGAAACAGCGGAAGCGACGAAATAAATAGGAAAAACTTTTTAAAATAAAATGATTGAATCTCAATCACATGGAAATAATAAAACGGAATTTGTAATAGTCGTCTTTTATTCGCTATATACAATTTTAACCTTAGTTGTAACAACTGATCGAGAAAAATAGTTGCTGGATCGACTGTTTATAAGTTTCATCGAATTTCTAAGTAAATATATTCCGAGATAACAACAGTATGATATCTAGTAAAAATATTTAGTTTCCCTTAAAATTCGACGCAGGAATATCCATCACAGAAGCATATCACTTCAAAAATGCACATGCTTTGGCAATTCTTTTCTTTCTAACTGTATTTTGGGATTTACAATCTCGCAATACTTTATAAATATTACTACATAAAAATATATTGTTCAAAACAGTACATATATCAATTTTGAATTGTATACACATAAAACGTTTGCTTTTAAAATCTATGAACCACATAAACCTGCAGTTTAAAAAGGGGTTATTTTTTCATATGGCCACTCACGTGATTTTACAAAGTAATTTTTAAAGTACAGTAAACAATGTTAGACGTTCATTTATTCATAAAACGTCTTCAATTTATAATTTGCATCAAAATATCTAATATTTTAAACAGAAACTTAATTGTAGTCTTTGCATTGTTACGCATTGCAAAAAAGCTGCGCCCATATTTCTACATTATAAAATATTGCAATAAAATTAAACGAAATGTTCTGATATAAAATTATCCTTATTTCGCTAAGAAAAAAACGGTCAAGATCATATAACGTATTTGCACTCGACTAATAGAAAATGTGCTTATAAAAATATGAAGAAAAAACACACTGATTAAATTAACTAGTCCATATAGTCACTGAAAGATGAATGATCGAAAGAATAGATCTCCTTATTGAAATTTACGTTTTAATATTATTTTGAGGTCAAATACTTTGAGCGCAATTGTAAAAATGACAATGAATATAACATAGAAATAACAAGAACATTTGCAAAACTTGTTAAACTACTGTGACACAAGCATATTATCAGCAAAATGCAAATGAAACACATCCATATTTTAAAGAAACGACAGTAATGCGTTCAAGGCATTACTTATGCGTTTTGACATAATTGGAAACATACGAAACGTGCATAGAAATAGATTATAATAATTGACTGTTTAAAAAATGTGTGTACATATTTCTATAGCAAATGGAACTGTAATAAAAACATTTTTTTGTTAATCAAAATTCGGTTGAATCTCATTTGAGCAAAACTGATCACAATTTTTGATAAAGTTGCAATTACAATATAGAATCAACAGGTTTCCATAAAGCAAGTGTAACTTCCTTTTGCCTCACTTTCCTTAGCAACACACATATTATGCGCCTTACATTTGTCATGATGATTTACTATTTCAAGTCTAAAATTGCCATTTCCAGCTGCAAATGAAGTACGTATCTCAGGAATTGTATCACTCCACTTCCTGCAGTATTTACAATACATCAGATTGGATATCTCATCGTACTGAAGCCACGAATACATATCTAACCAACTAACTTTGAATCTACCTGCTTTTCTACTTTGAGGAATAGTACGTTGTGAAATATTGCACAGAGTTGACTGTATCACTGACATTCCCTGATGTTGATTGCCTGTTGCTATTCTATGTACGTTAATATCTTTTTGGGTATTCTTAACATTTGTACTGTCTGACAATAGATTTAATAATGAGTTCGTGTTACTGTTTTTGTGCGAATATGATTTGTGAGACACGGATTGATTTTGCAAAGTTTTATGAGAATTCCCATAATATTCGGATGTAGTTCCTGATACATTGATAGACAGAGAACCGCCAGCCATGATAGTGCTTTCACGAGAAACTTGTATAACAGCAGTTTCTGGTTGATTTTGGGGCATATTATCCATAGTTTCGTCACTCTTCCCATCTCTCTGAACCTCCCACTCCACACTAGTCTGTCAACAGAGAAGGAAAGGATATGTGTTTAATCAACACATCTTTGATTTTGCTTTTTAGCATATGAGAAGACAATTTTCCTTTTTTGCGTCTGTATTTAAACATCCCTTCCTTCCCATGACTGTTTTGACTGAGTAGTTGTAGGATAGCAATAATAAATCATTAATTACAGGAACAGTAACGAAACTATATCTTTGGTATATTATATTTGATCTGTCGCACAACTTCACGAATAGCTTGAGAGCTACACATGAAAAAATATCTCTTCAGAAAAATAACAAAAAAATTACAGCAAAAGTAACCTGCTGAAATCAAATGACACATAATAAAAGAAATGAATTAAAAAAGGAAGAAGAAGTAATGCTGTTACTAGACTAAAAACTACATCAAAACTACTTTCCTAATAAATGTTTCTAAAAAAAAAACTACTTATTTGAAATGAGAATTTTTACTGACAAAGTAACTGAACTAAATGTGTCTAAAATTGAAACTAAAATATAACACTTTAATGCAAGACAAACACACTCATGATAAAAACACACGATAATAAATTATTTTCTACCATATACATGCTACAAATTATGTAATCAACATGCAAGATATAACCACATTTTTACCATGATATAAAATAGTACATATGAGAAATCACTCACTGGGAGGGAGATGTTGTCATGAAAGTCTGGTAAGTGATGATCTAACTCTTGCTTGATAGATGGTTGCGGCTGTGATGAAGGAGACATAGGTCGGCCACCATCTTCCATTTCACCTCCCAAGGCATTATTTAACTTTGGAATCACAGGAGGACTTGATTTGTAACTACATTGTGAAGATGCCTGTAAACAACAAACAAAAAGGATATGGATTTTAAATGTACTAAAGCCATCTCTGTATTTATGTATTTGTGTATTTGTGTACCTAAATATCTCATTTAGATTCAAATTTCATTTATATAAACTTACAAATGATGTCATAAAATTTGTCTATGTTCCAACTTTTTATATTAAATAAAATTATGTATCATTTCGTATTATCAATTTTTATTATTATTGGGAAAGCCTTCAGGAAATTGAGAAATGGTGTAGCAGAATTTTTTGTACTATCAAAGCTTAAGGGAAAATTCGCGATAATAAGTAAGATACCGTAATACTTGATTCGCGTCTTAAAACGCAGATTAGCTTTTGCTTGATTTCTCAAGGTCGCGAGAAGGTATTTGGAAAGCTGTGCAATGACAAGCACATATATAGTGTATTGATAACAAAGTACAATCATTATCTCTAAATTTTAGACGCTACGCGCAAAAAAAGTTCATGGCATGTACATGTGGCTACGTAAGTATGTGCGTGTACGCTCGCACGCACGCATGCACAAGGGCACGCGGGCGAGTACGCAGGAGCATATGCTTTCAAAATATTAATCGGAAAACAACAAAACTAATTCAAATTAACATTACTATCGATATTTCTATGTACTGAAGATATAATATAACTCTCTGCATAAACAATCGGGAATAGAAATTAAAATAAATAAGATTACAACATTGACTCAGTATACTTTAAAAGAAAATACTAACATTAATTGGAAAATATAAAACGCATTAATATATTATATAACAACTAATTACATTAGAATATGTAATTTACTGAATACAAGTGTCATAAATAAACTGAATATTTACAAAACATAACATTTTATAAAATAGCAAAACAGAATAGAATTAATGTGACTTCATTGCATTATATCTTAAAAAGGTTTTACAACAGTTTATATCAGAAAGAAAGAAATAAAATCTATATCTAAAACGAAAGGAACTTGTAACACTAAGAGAATGATACATAAAAAGTACATGTAAACAGAAATAGAATAATTTAGTACTACAAAACAATGTAAAAGTTTCGAGCATAATAAATTTTAATACTACCATATATAATTACACTTTACTCCAAAATTTTTTACTAATAAATTTTTTATTCCAATAGTTTTTGCTCCAAAACTTTATACTATAAAATTTTGTACTCCAAAACTTTTTACTCCAAAACATTTTGCTGCAAAGATCTTTTGCTTCAAAATTTTTTACTTCTACAATATATAAAACAAAAAGTCAAAAGATACAAAAATAAAAACAAAAAATATGCTGGTGATTGAGGAACGAAAGTATGAGAAATACAATGTTACGATTACAAAATTACATACCTGAGAATCGGACATGAACCGTTCACTGGGTGGACCACTAAGGGAAACATCATAGCTGCCCGAAGCCTTTCTTTTCCTCTTTTCAGGAAGAGGCTGAAGGTTAGGCGAGTCAGTATGCCTAACACCAGTTTGCGTTTCTGGTTCTGGCGATGGACTTTTCTCTTCTGCCTTGTTATTTACACTATTATCAGTGAGGCCTCTAATCTGTAATGCCTCGGCTGTTTTAAGGAACATCGGTAGTAGATGCTGACTAACGTTAACTTCTCCCTTATACATAAAGTGCAGCAACGCCTTCATTTCCGTGTCATTGACATCCTTCAGGAATATAATTGGATGGGGATGGGTATTCTGAAGGAAAATGCTCTCGAAATACGGACTGCATGCAGAGAGTATCGTCTGGTGTGCCTTGAAAGTGTCTCCAACACACGCCAGGGTTACGTCGCAGAGTGCCTCTCTGGCAAGCAACGAGCTGAGAACGTCTGTGAGGTTGGCTGGATGATTGTTCCACCGTAGACAATACTGTTGGTCCATCTTGTCTATCTCCAATCCCGACCCTACAACCAAACTAGCTGCCCTGAACTGTCCACACTAGAGACTTTGATCACCCTGACTACAGAATGACTCCCTAACCCTTAAAACGTTAACTCACACGCCTTCTCCACGCACACTCTCCTATATCGACTTGACGATATCTCCTCGGAGATTATATCGCAACTCTAGACCCACACAACTTCCTCCGTGCTTCTGCAAATGTGCCACATTGCAGTATAACTGTAAAACCCTTCAGGGTTCACGCGTCGCTACTATACGTGCCGAAAACATTTTTTTCGCATAACCTCGGCAAACGACGAACTACTCCGTTTACAATTTCACGTCGACGAACGTGGCGAAAACGAAAAGAAGGTTAGAATATTAATTGCGACGCAGTACGTGTCACTCACAGATACGATAATATCCAATATTCGAAGATAATGTTTTCGGCAATGTCAATATTCGCGAGGCTTGGGCGCCATTGTCGGTCGGACTCGTCTAGCCACGAGCCTTCTCGCGAAAACTCGATTTGTTGATGCTCGATTTCTAACCATTCAAACACGCTCCACACGCGGCTTTATTTACCTAAACCCAGCGCCAGCTAACTAACGCACCGTATACACTAACGACCCGGGTTTGTTTATCGTGTTGACGATTACTCACCTTTCGCAAACTTTTTGCCATTACAACGCCACCCGACCCTTAACGTCCACTGCCATACCAATCTGCCAATGCCTACGGCCTTATTTTTAAAATACTTTTGACCTTCGTGCATCTGCCGTGGGGAATGGCGCGAAGGGCGCTCGAATTCAAACGCGGCTAGACACGCGGCACGATTGCTTCCAATATTTTCGTTTAAACTAATCGTTTTTCTCAGTCGAAATTAAAGAAATTTTTAGATCGATGTAATTACAAATGCATTTAGTATACGAAACTTGACAATGTACGAAAAAATTGTCATTTCCAATGTTTATATATCTACAAACATAACCTTTGCTGTGTATTCACCTTTTCGAAATCGAATATAATCGTAATAAGAGAAATAACAACGAATTTTATAGAAACGGACAGTTAGTCATTAGAATAATGTTACTAAATATTATTAAAATATGAACAAATAATTTACATGAGATACATAACCTATTAAGATTGTACATGGCTTATCTAAAAGAATGTGATAATTATATATCACGGCAATAATATATATAGAAATACATAAATAAATTATCTAATTTAATTACTTCCTGCAAGAATTTAAAGACAAATGTCCTTGTCTTATATCATCTATTGAAATTCCGATAACTTCATAGATATACGAGTACTATAAAATTTCTGTAGTACCTATAAATAGACAAGAACCTTCGTGTTTAGTTCTAAAGTTCACCGATGGACATAAAAGATTTCCATACAATCGCGAGAACGAACACAAAATTATCGCCCTTGTAAATTGAAGATAAAACGTATTCGTAAATACGTTTCACCGACCGAACGAAGAACCAGTGTAATAATGCTTTAAACAAATGAAACCAGGCTGGAAATTCGACGCTTCGTAAAATGCAACAAATTGCCGCATCCGTGGAAAAGTTTCACGCTTGTCTATCATCCGTTCTATTATCCTAGATTGTGTGGAATTCAAAGCCGCCGCGGCAAAGAAAGTTTTAAGTCAGTCGCAGTTTAGGCGCTGCGAAAAAGAAGGAACCGTGGAAAAAAAGCCCGTTCGAAAGTACACTTTAATCGCGGCCCGCTTTAATGAGTCGTGAATGCCTTCCTTTCCGTGTTTCCTTTTATTTTTTTTTCGGTGGAACGCGCGCGCGTGTACTCGCCGCGTAATACGAGAGGGGATTACGTTTCCCGGAAAATCATCGAGTGCAAAGGGGTCGTTCGGCTTCATTTGACTGCAATAAACGGTAATTCACGCAAATCGCGAGCTTTCTGATATTAATTTCGGTCGTCCGCGGGCCGGACGATAATCGTGTTAACCATACGAAATCAATAGGTAGCGGGAAAATTGGAAAATCTCCTTAATCGGTTTTCGAATATGGATTTACAAGCTTTGCCTGACCATTAACAGATTTAATCCGTACTTTGATTGGCACTGCGCAAAATTACAATTCGCGTGCTTGTCCCCGGCGAAGATACAGGGGCGTGTTGGTAAATAGGAATTCGGTGTATTAAACGGGCAACGCAATGGGCATAATTGGATTTATCTCGAGCGTGTTTCTGAGGATATAAAACGTCCGTCCGGGACACGTATCGGGGGCCCGGCGTTCGGCGTTCGCCGATTATTTTTAATGACAAATTAACTGGGAACATTTAAAACTTTCCATTCGTCGGAGAAAGTTTTTCGTTCGTGCGTTGCGATCGACGTCCCGGTAAATAGTAACGGACATCGTGAAAAGCGTATCATTTCAGGACCCGTTTCTCAGAGATGCGATTTACGCGGACGACTGAACAGATTGCGTCGGACCCAATATTGCCCTTTAAGGGCAATTCGCGTCCGATCTGTCGTGTTTCGAACGCGAGTCTACTTCCAGAAAATTTTTCTTGTTTTCTGTTCCCTATTCTGCGCGATTCCGGCGAAATTAACAGGCAGTATGCTAGGTACTATGAAGTAGAAACTGTTACGTACTATGGTGGGAGAAAAACGAATAATCCCGACTGACGGTACCAGATCGGATTCACCAATCCTACCGGTGAGTAATTGCCGAAAGCGCGTGATGGGCTAGCTCACCCGAGACCTTCGAACCTCTCGACAACTTCGATTTTGCGCGATCAAAGATGAGCCTGTCAGTTAATAATAACGAAAACAAAAAATAAACCAAAGAAACTTGTTCGTCGGTCGCTATCGACGGCATTCCCCGATCAAATAAATGATTACGCAACGAATTGTGCGAACCGGTTTCTCGGACAAGTTCCTCCTACTGTTCGACAAGATTGGCGCTTCCTAATAACTTTTCTAGACTGGCAACGGGTGAACGTGTCAGTGGTCTGCCCGGGCAAGGCGATTATTACGGAGCGAGTGGATAGTCGAAAAATGCGACTCTCGAATATAAAAGATCAAAGATCAGTGCTAAGGACAGACACAGAAGAGAAAAAAGCATGTGTAAGCTTATCGTTGGCAAAAGGAACGGACCTGTAGATCCTCCGCGCAGCTGGGTTACCGGCGAGCATCACCGTTATCTGCATAATTATCTCGCGGTGGCCTTGACTGTTCCACGAGGAAAACACGTCGAAGCCTGGCATCGCGACGTATCGTGGCCCGATACATCGCCGTCTCTTTCGCCTGGCGCGTGCAGAAGCCGCGCGCGACGAGGCGCGCCGAGAAAATCGTTTCTCTGTCTCTTCCGTGCGGCCGGCAGATCTTCAGGGACGATCTTCGCGCGGTGCACACCGGAAGTGCAGCGGTGCCACGCAGTTCGCGCGATCGTTTGCACCGCGCATGCCCGCGCGCTAGTGCGCGCGCACGGATCGATTCGCGACGATGTTTCCGCGACTCGTCAACCGATTTTCGTCTCTTTTCTCTTTCGTTTCTTTGGTCGTTGAAACGACAAGAACTTTTCCCGTTATTGCCGCGGTAGAAATAATATCGGTATCGACGCGAATTATGGTCCCGATCATTTGGACCAAAGTTTTCGTAGAATGCAAACGACCCATACGCAAAAGACACGTACAGTGTACGAGTGTACGCGCTTGTTTCTCTTGAGCGAACCCAAAATATCGGTGGGTTCGTTTGGCGAAATTTAATGTAGAGGTAAGAAAAATCCGTATGAAATACTGTCTCGATAAGAGATGCGCGCTGCAACGGCGCTCGACCATGCATTTTCCCAGCGACAATACGACCGTGCACTTTAGGGGGAGAAAGAGCATACTTTCTGCGTTTGATCTTCAAACGCAGCGAGGAAGTTCCTTGAGGAAGAACGGTCTCGTATTGACGCACTTACGCGTCCCATACGTGCGGGTACGATACGTAACGGATGGAAATCTGCGGCTCACGATTTTTGCACGGCAACGAATTTTTCTCCCTCCATGGATAAACGCTTCTCTTTCTTTCTTTCTGTCTTTTTTCCTTTCTTTTTTTTCTTCTTTTTTTGTTTCTTTTTTCTTTTTATTTTCAGCGATCGAAAAGCTCGATTGATACACACCGTTTCAGCGAATCTGAGAGCTTACTACGGAGAAAGAGACGCGTAGGATTGTGCTTTTCATCCACCGGCCATCTTTCTCCTGGAACGATCGAGCGTGAACGCGTCGCTCGATGCCGATTTACGCCCGAGCCTCCTCCCAAACTCGCTGAATAGGAGCGTGGCATGACACCTAAAGCGACAAGAAATGAACGATAATGGTTCGGTCGGTTGTATAGCGAAATATTTTCACCGGCGCGATCATTTTTTTTAGCTTTAATCTAGGCGTGACTCGAAATGCCGAGCCAACTATGCGCTCGCGATAAATTATGAATCACCGCCCACCCTGTCTCCCGACCTACCCCTCTCGTCGCGGTAGATTAAAAATTAATCTTGATTTACCGTTATTGCATTATTTGTCCACCGCTGTGCACTATGTAAGAAGTTATGGTAGTTTGGATTTGCATAGGGAAGAACGTTTGCCCGGCGAAATATCGGGCAAACAATCCTGGGGAAATTCTAATAAAGAATGGTCCGCTTCATCCGAACTTTTATCTCCGAAATTCTCGGCTCGTTTAATTGTTTTCCATTTCCATATGAAATGTTGCGCGGTCAACCCTCGCGGAAGCTCGTCCCGGTTTTTTTCTTTCGTTTCTCCGGAATCGAGGATCGGTTCGGTCGGACCCGAACAAACGAAACTCTGCTACGCGCACCGGGAAGCCTGTCTCTTTCGAGGAGAAAACGGGCATTTGCTTTGTTGCCGTACGAACGCGATTACGTTTGATACGAATCGCGTGGCACATGCTAATTCCGAATGTTCTGTGAAAACGAAATTATGAATTTTCTCTGTTTTGCATAATTGTTCACGACGCAATTGCGCTAATTATGAGGCCGGAATTGAAGTGCGTAACAAAACCGTGACGTTTGTTTGTTCCGCGTGTTCGTACAATTTGCCAGATAAAACTTAATTTCCCGTTAGTCTCTAATCTACGTCAAGTAAGCATTTCGGAGTTATTTTATTTCGTACAGTTAATATCACATTCGATTTTGAGAGTCTATTAATGCCAACTACTTTATGTTACACACGTACATTACAAACTACAGTGTTTTAAATTTAATAGAACAAATGTCAGTCTTTTCCATTAATTTCTACATTATGTACATACAGCTGTACACGTTTTCCTCTAACTGAACGTTACGATTCGTTTGTTCCATTAAGTTACGTTTGTCGTTGCAATCGAAACGTTGTCAAAATCTTAATCGCCTGTGCAATCTATCGCGTAACTAACGGGAATCGGAATTACGCAAATTACACGTTACTTGCTGCTATACGTTCCCGAAAATTGACAATTGCGCCGGCCGCGTGTTTTTGTCCGTGCCGCGCCAGTTTATGTTTCAATTGGACGCTAAACCAATAAATGCAGTCTAGTTTACAGAGCACATTATTGAAATCCATTAAACTATCCGATTCCACGATCAGTTACGGAATTTACCAACGGATTCAC